GATCAATGTGCCCATGCAACTATGCTTGCAACCGCTATTTTGACAGGTCAAATATTTTAATTTCGTGCGAGGATCATTGCCAGATCAAGGTATCAGGGGGTTACACTCATCAACCAATGTTATTTATTTATTTGGCTACTAATCAAAGATTATTTCATCGGTTTAGCCATAGGAAGAGTGCCGAGATGTTTCAACTCTAGTTTTAGTGGATTTGACGAGATACGCTGGTGGTTATGCTTATTTTTGTATGTATACATTATTTAGACATAGACAGGACACTTCATCAGTTTCGTAATATCTGATCATGACCCAAAGTCTCTGTTCTGAAGTATTTTTTCATTTGTTCAAACTTAGATTTGCTGTTTTCTTGGTATGTACATTTGACCGACACAAACATGACGTTTGAAATGAGAAAATTTGCGAGCAGATAGATGAATCAACCTATATCTGCCGTCCTGTAGATATCCATATCTTTTTGGAAATTGATGTTTTTTTGTTGCGGGAATTTGGGAATTTATGTTACCCCCAAAAGTTTCTTCTTTTGAGTTATATTCGAGTAGGTCATTTTACAAATACTAAACCAAAAGGTTAACCATTTTCATCTTTGTCTAAAGATTTGTGATGTCAAATCTGAATTTAAAATTGCTTGGAACAACAGATTGATCATGTGTTATGGCTTTCTTGTTTTTTGGTGGAAAACTAACGTCTCGCTGCGGCGACTAGTCCCACAAATAAATAAATTCGGAATGACTGTGCACACGATACTTTTCTGCCTGATGGTGCAGACGGCACTCTAATCAATCAGTGGCAGTGCCACGGGTTAGTTGTGTAGTCAACTGACTACACAATATTTTGGCTTGCACCAATAGACATCAGACAAAACCCAGTACAAATGTCATGCAAGCATGTGTATTTGACATCACAACTTTGAACTCCTGGCTTAGCCATAAAACGTCATGCATCATCAAGCATTGCTCAAATAAAAAAAAAACTTGTGCCTGCTAAAGAAAAAAAATAGCCCTGCACGTCGAGTACGCTGTCAAAGTAATAATGACAACAATAAATTTATGGTGAAAGAATAGAGGCACGGGCGAAACGTTGCCCTTTGTGAACGCACCTCGTGGCAGCAAAGGAGGGGCTGTATAATTACAGCACGAACTGACCGGCCTCGGATTCTTACTGGACGGCCGCAATTTGCACAGCGCGCTGTGTACAGAGCACGTGATGCATGCTGTAAACTTGTCGAGGATACTTAGATACTACCAGTCTACTACATGCACGCGTGAGAGCAGAATTGACGTGGGTGCGGCCGCGCGGTACTATCGCTAGGTAGCGACCGATGCGTATATTAGCCGGCGTTTAGTTTCGTGTTGGACCATCCGGACAAAAAATGGCGCGTCGCTTTACCCCAAAAGATCGTCGATTCGACGGTCTGGTTGGTTGATGTCTACAAGTTGACATCCAATAATTGAGTTACCCATGTGTCATATGTCTTAACTAGATGATACCTGTCGCGGGAATGAATTGCAATGCATGTTGATTAGGTTTGGTTGTTTGGAATTTGGATATAGAAATGGAAGCTGAAAACACATATTATGATTTATCATATATGATTATTATATACTTGTAAGTATCTATAGAATATAAGTAGCATTTCACGTGCATTTTTTTGGGAAAATGATCCAGATCATTACCAAAGTTCACCAGAAGTACAAAGCACCCAAAGCATAATAATAAAAATGCATCGAGATTTCGAGACCATCGAACGACCACTACCATCGTCTGAACGAGCTGTTGTCGCCACTTACCTACGGGAGCCAACTTGACCTTGTCGATAATAGTTGGGAAGTCTTCGTGTACCTGCCCCTAAGAACCAGCGCCCTGGAGCCGTAATCGTCATCGTCGAACCCTTGAATAGATTTGAAGCACCTGATACCAAATCTCCCCACATGACGAGAAACCCTAACCTCACTGCCCAAGGAGACATCAGGAATCTACACAGGAGCTCCGTCGACTACATCCAGATGGATGAACTCGAGGAAGATCGAAGCCCAGAGGACAAACTCAAAGAAGAAGCGTTGCCATCCGCCTGAGCACCACACCTATAAGGACTAAAAAAAATCCTAGTCTAAACTATTAACCAAAGCAGAGGCACCGAAATTCCCCTCCCCGGAAGCAGCCGCGGGAACGGCAGGTCGAGGGGAAGCGAATCCCCAGGCTTACCGGCGAAGCTTGGAGGGGAGAGTTTACATGCACCGTGAGAGAAATAGTTAGTGGAGTATTAAACTCGCATGCGTGCATATTTAGAGAAATAGAAGTAGTGGAGATTAACTATTTAACTATATATATACTAGATGGTACCCTGCTTATTGCTACATGAATGTTTTGCCTATAGTACTAATTAAAGAATTGCAAGCGGTCCCTCAGAGAATTCCGGCTATACTCGTAATATTCAAAGCGGTTGGGAACTATCCAATGGGGTTTTAGAACCGGGTCTGTCTAGGACACATCTTGATGTGACATAGTTATGTCACAACTAAGCTGATGTACATTCTATTTGTGGTCTTCTTTTGTCCTAATTTTTTCTTGTTTCTTGTTGCTGCATTATGTATTTGTGGGAGTTTAGATGTGACATCCTTAAAAAATATCTAGATATGAATTAGACAAACTGTTTAAAACCGCCTCCAGTACTAAAAGTATTACCAACTATTCTCTAGAAATGGAACTCAAAATGCCCTTTCTGTGGTAGTTTTTTTTTTAAACGGAAAGTGCCCTTTCTGTGGTAGTTTTTTTTTTTTTGAAACGGAAAGTGTTTCCTTTTTTCTTATCCACCGAGCTTTGTGTGTTTACGTCTCTCTCTTTTGGTGCATGCAGTTGTTGTACCTTGGGACAAGATATTTTACCTTTGTTCCTTGATACAGAGCCACGACTATCTCTGGCCAAGTCTTCACAGGACTAGGAGAAGGAGTCTAACAAGCTACCCAACAAATTCAATTTCCCTTGTAGGTAACAGATAGTTGGTACTATATGGCATGTGGGTTCTATGTTCGCGCACACATGGACGAGCTTGTCCACCACGACAATTTGCATTACAATGAAAAATACTTACACAAATTGCTAGTGAGAACTATGGCCATGCCAAAGCCAGATATGTGTGCATATTTCCTCAACAATGACATCGCACGGACACCTGACATGCGGCCCTTCTCGGAGTCTTGTCGAAACTCATTAAAGCTCTAATATTCTATAAAATAACTATATTTCATCACATATTTGAATAAATGATGTGAAACTTGTCTTACATTTCATTTATTAATACTAAGTTTTTTATGTCAAATATTACTTTGTCCTACATCTTGACTTAATACGTGGATGGATTCATTTGAAATTATTTGTCTTCATCAATCTTCTCTACTACTTAAAAAGAATGTAAGGTCTCTTACATAAAAAAAAGAATGTAAGATTTCATGTTTCACTTTTGTTCCCACCATCCCTTGGTCCAACCTTTTCTGTATATGATAATCAATCACCTTAATTTACTTACTTTCCAAACCAATTTCACTTTCATTTACTTACCTAATTTCTCAACAAACTATAAGGTAATCAAGATTTGATAAATATTCATTTACACAGTCATATTAATATGGTAGGTAATCACAAGCTAGCATACTAATACAATATTTATACCGCGTTGCAAGGCACGGGCATTGTGCTAGCTTAACTGAAAACCTACTCCCACCATCATTCATTTCTCTGACAAGTATTTATGGACGAAGGGAGTACAAGTTATGTCTTCCCATCCATTCTAACTTGTAAAGGTTGCAAGTAGTCCTGGCCATCTCAGGCCCGGCCCTGTCGGCCCACCCAGGCCTGACCTTAAAATCCAGGGCCTAGGCCCGATGGGCTTGCTCGTGGGCCGGGCTTGTGCCTAAGTTTTGAGCCCACCAGCAGGGCCTGGACGGGCTTGGGCTTGGCATATTGGCATTTCAAGGAAGAGGCCCGACCCACGGCCCTAAGCCCTAAGGGCTTTTTACCTGATGGGCCGGGCTTGGGCTTGAAAAATAGGCACGATGGTAGGGCCTGGGCCTCAGTTTTCCGACGTGGGCTTTTTTAGGCCCGGCCCGGCCCATGGCCAGATATAGTTGCAAGTGCTTAGCGATAAAGACCAAGTTATGCATATTAATTATTAGTGGCTCCACATTGCACTTAATTTGGAAGATTAGTTGGTGGAGTTGCAGATGAAGATAAAATACTCAGCACAGTACGAATAAGACATCAGCATCGAGCCATCGACTACATACTTAATCAATTTTCACCGCAATTGACTAATTAAATTAAGGCATCCAAAGATCTTTCATACTTCCTTGTCTGCTCCTTTTATCGAAGTGTCACCCTGAAGTGAAAGATATTGTGTGTGATATTGATCAGGGACGAATTAGCACGAAAAATGTTGCTCCGGAGATAAATGAGCTAGGTCAAATCAACACATCATGCATGGACATCAGCTCTTGTACTCTAGTTTAATTACCTAGCGTATTGTAGGGGGTGTAAAATATCGTTTTCACCTGATTTAGGCGACATAACCAGATTTGGTTGAAAGGATTGTTTTCTCCCATGCATTATTGGCCCTCTCAATGGGAGCGGCCATTCAGAGGCCTGGCTAGCATGAGCGATCATTGCAGCGGCTGTCACCGCCCTATATCTATATAAGGCAAGACCTCTCCGTTGCTTCTTTGGGTAGCCCTGCTCACTAAATAATTTGGAGGGGACTTGCTAATCATAGTGTGTCTTCTGCAAGCTCAGGAAAGATTTGAGGTAATTAAGTCTTAAGTAGTTTTGAGTTTGGATAAGCTTCCTCTTCTTATTATACGTAGTAACGTACATACATGGATCTCTTTCTTCTCCTGTATTACATTCAATTTGGTTTAGAAGGTTCTCATAAACTTTTCATCTATTTGCGTCCAAGGTTCCTCCCCATTATTTGCATCCATCCAGACAATATGGACGACTCGGCCCTGTTCATGGAATGGGCAATGGACACGTTGGAGCAGGAGCACCCGGACCCAGTGGTGGTCGTCAACGGCGAGGCAGCATTCCCCTCGCTTCAGGCACTCCGTGAACAGCGTCTTGTCTTCGAAGAGCTGATTACGGGAGCCAATCCGGCAAGCAGCGGGAGCTCCGGCGAAACAACCGACGGCAGCGGGGGCAATTTCTCGTCCCCAGCGGCCATGGAGCACGGCATCTGGCCCCCGTCCCCGAACTCGGCCAGGTGCGCTCCAAGACTTTCCAGGAACGGTGGAGGCACCAACCTTCCGGTCACAAGCTGGAATTTCTGCGCCGCTTCCGCGCTGCCGGCCAGTGACGGCACACTGGACAGCGGCAGCGCCGGGTCTGTCGTCCCGGAAATGGTGTACGGGTCCCAGCCGACGAGGAGGTCCGCCGCAAGGAGCCCCACCGGTACCGGACCCGTGTCGTCGGGGCCGCCGTACGCGCAGGACCATATCATGGCGGAGCGCAAGCGCCGCGAGAAGATTAACCAGCGCTTCATCGAGCTCTCTACCATCATCCCCGGCCTCAAGAAGGTGCGCGCTCCACTTTGAACACCTGCACTTATGTTAGTTCTTCCCCATGAAAACAAATCATCTCAGTGTAGATCCATATATATGATTGATTCAGATGGACAAGGCGACGATCCTTTCCGACACGACGAGGCACGTCAAGGAGCTGCAGGAGAAGATCAAGGCCCTCGAGGCAGCCACCGGGTGCCGCAACGCCGTGGTGCTCGTCAAGAAGCCGCGCCACGCCGACGCCGCCGTTTCAGACCAGAGCCAGAACGGTTCGTCCTCGTCGGCGTCGTCGGGGGCGCCTTCTGCGGGGAATAACCCGCTGCCGGAGATCGAGGTGCGGTTCTTGGAGACCGGCGTGATGGTGAGGGTCCTCTGCCACGACGTCAAGGGGGTGGTGGTGAGGGTGCTGTCGGAGGTGGAAGAGGGGCTCCACCTCACCGTCACCCACGCCAATGTCATGCCGTTCACGGCCTGCACTGTCATCATAACCATCACGGCCAAGGCAGGTTTTCCTTTCTTGCAGATTTCACATTTCAGGTTTTCCTATCAACCGAATATATATGATATTATTATAAGATGTTTTGGATATTTCAATATGGACTATATACAAACTGAAATGAGTGAGCAAACACACTAAAACGCGTTTATATACATTTGAATTAGAAAAAAGGTTAGAACATCTAGTTAACATACGGAGGGAGTATACTTCCATTGATAATCACCGATTGTTACACTCGCTTCATAATGAGGTATTCTCAATATAGTAATTACAATTATTTTGAATACAGTTGCAGGGCATGAAATTTCTACACTCGCTTCTACATGTATCTCAACATGTGGACATCAGACGGCTTAGAGCATCGACTTAGAAATAGGACAATCTCAAATGACTTAGATTTAGCTAAACCTAAATGATTAGCAACTTGGGCCATCTGAAAGGCATTCATGTCTCGAAGACAATGTGATTTCAATGCCAGAAAGTTTTGTTTTAAACTGGGCTGTTTACACTAAAACCTATATTCATTGTTTTAAACTGGCTAGTTGGAACCATTCAACAAAATACAAAATTGGCCCCGGCAAAAATTAAAAATTGAATATCATACCGTCATAGTTGTACTATGATGGCATTAACTAATGTTCCGTACAAAATACATAATCTATCCCGCATTATGAGGAAGCTTCATAGTTTGCAAGACATGGTCAACGTGCATAGAAAATTCCACAAGCATACTATCGTAGATCCTATTCCTACATATATATTTGATGACGAGTAAAACTACATTTACAGGGAATTTCTTATGGACTTTACGGACGAGCGGATATGGTGAGATTTGGTTGGAGAATTTAATATTGGGGGTGGGGGGGAGCGTATTTAATATTGAGTTTGGAAGGATCCGTAGAATGTGTGTAAGGCTGGTCATAGTAGAGAGTAACATATACTAGTATCATGCATATGATACTAGTGTATAATACTACATTCATAGTGCATAGTATCATAAAGTAGTACTCCCTCCGTCCGGAATTACTTGTCGAAGAAATCGATAAAAATGGATGTATCTAGAACTAACATATGTCTAGATACATCCATTTCTTTGACAAGTATTTCCGGACGAGGGAGTATCATAGATGGTCTCATTTATTGTTATGCATGACACATAGCAACATAACATTTATTATGATACGGTATCTACCTATGTTACTATGACCCTCTTTTCTTTTTAATTGCCTGCCATGTAAGCATGTTTGCGAGTCTCAAATACATGATGCTAGTTATGTTATCCCTACTATGGCCAACCTAAATAGTTCAGCACTTATGTTTGATGACCAGTTTTATTGAACAGAAACATAATTCTCAATCTAGCCAATCATGCATGTTCCCCCGGGGAAAAAAGCTAATAATGTTTGCTCATAAGTATTATATTCATCTGAACGAAGTAGGGAATACAATGCTGGTCAATAGCTAGTTCGCATTTTGTTTTCAGGTGGATGAGGGCTTCACCGTCACAGCAGAGGAGATCGTAGGAAGACTCAACTATGTGTTGGAATTGTATAGCAGCTGCACTTCTACCGAAGAAAACTGAAACAAGAAAATATTACATGTCATATGTATAGTACGGAACATATTATCCTGTATAATTATATTTGGAAGTGGTGAGAGGGAGTGCATGCAGGCATGCATGTTTCCGACGAGAATGTCTAGCCGAACAATACATTCGCATGCTTCTGTTGGTGCAACGACAGCAACGGCAAAAGCTTGTTGAAAGATCAAGCCAAGTGGATGATTCCAAACGAAAATGACTGGCGTCTGGCTGCACGCAAACTGTGGATATTGCTGTCTGAATATTCTGGTAATAATATCCATTCATCACCCGTGTACTATATATGTACACACTACAAGGAATCCTAGTTTTCCGGTCAGTCCACAGAGTTGGTTTTGAGCGAGAAATTCAGCCAACACAAATAATTATAAAGGTCATCTGTGTAGGATCTATAGGAAAACCGACTCAAAGAGTTCTTTCTTTTGGTTTGCTTGAAGAAACCAACTCAATAAATATTTAATTGCAAATTGTAGAAAAAACTTGAGTGGTTTCTTATCCAACCATCTAGGATAATCCATGCCCAAAAAGCCAAACTATGAGGAAACCAATCATCCTCCCTCTCAAATCAGAACCCTAGTGTCATCTTCTCCCCTCCTATCTCCCCCACGACACAAACGAGCCCCCATGCCTCCGCATCAGGGATCCCATGCGTCCGCCATTGAACCTCCATATGAAGTAAATTTGGGCCTCCAACAAGATAATGTCCAGAATTTTTCAATACATCAAAGATGCATGCATGGAACAAAATGGATGTTTTAAAGGGACAAAAGTACATGACACCAAAATGCCATGCTGGAGCGAGCAATGGCACGTACCAAGGCATTACCATCAACCACCGCCCTTGACAACGCCAAACTACGACAAATGTTATCCTACCACTTAAGTTCGGATGAAGGATTTTTACCATGAAGAGAAAGTCTGAACATTCTCCAACTAATGTCTTCAACAAGGAATTCATCCCTATGGCTTATCACCTTGGAATTCGATACCTAGTACTCAAGAGCACAACCTAAGCCGCGAAGTAACAATGTGTTGTCGCCACCACTTATCAAACACTAGTAGAAAAGAGGGCTTTGGTCCACCTCGGGTTAGCCCATTAGTCCGGGTTCAGTCTAGAACCGGGACTAATGGGGGCATTAGTCTCGGTTCGTGTGCCCAGGGGCCACGTGGGCCATTTGTCCCGGTTGGTCTGGACCTTTTAGTCCCGGTTGGTGCCACGAACCGGGACTAAAGGGTGCGATATCCATTAGTCCCGGTTCGTGGCACCAACCGGGACTAAAGGGTTAGACCTTTAGTACCGGATCGTGCCACCAACCGGTACTAATGGGGTTTGAGGCATTAGTACCGGTTCATGGCACGAACCGGTACTAAAGGTCCCATTTTCAAACTCTACCCCCCGGATCGCCATTTCAGTTTAAAAAAAATAAAAGAAAATGATGAAAATGTCAAAAAAAATAAAAGAAAATAAGTTTCCCATGTGATATGTGGTCTAGTTGTTGGGAAAATTTGCAAATATGAATTTTGACTTTATTTGCAAAATCTCTCGAGAATTTGTAAAAATGGGCATAACTTTTGCATACTAACTCGGATGAAAAAGTTTTTTATATGAAAAATCATCTACTCGAAAAGTTACATCCAAATTTAATCGGGGGAACCCCGTTAAACATTTTCAAAATCCTCAAAAACCTAACAGAAAAAAAGTTACGGGGCTTTTTAGATCTAGAGTGGAAAAATCCAAAAAAATTCAAACTGTGGTCAAACAATGGTCAAACTAATTATTCTACAATATTAGTGTTACTAAATAATTATTTCAATTATTTTGAATTTTGGTCAAATTTGGTCAAACTGTGGTCAAAGAATGGTCAAATTGTGGTCAAACAATGGTCAAACAATGGTCAAACTAATTATTCAAGAAATATTAGTGTTACTAAATAATTATTATCTTTTAAAACAATAGTTTCAAACTCAAACAGTGAAATGTGTCACTTCATGCTCAAGCAAAATTCTTGAAGGTTAATAGGATTGACATCTTACTATTGTTAGGAAAACAACAAGTGCAGACTTGGAAACGAGGGAGAATAGACCCGGAAGTTAAGCGTGCTCAGGCTGGGGGAGTGGGAGGATGGGTGACCGTTTGGGAAGTTAGATGATTTGGAATGATGAGGGGTGATTAGAGATTAGAGGATAAATTGAGCAGTGATGAGGGGTGGTGATTAGAGATTAGAGGTTAAAATATATCAGAAATTTGAAAATAAAAAAAATTCAAAAAAAAATTCAAAAAAAATCGTAAAATTTCCTTTAGTCTGGATTGGTGTTACCAACCGGGACTAAAGGTGGAGCTCCACGTGGCCGCGGCCTTTAGTCCCGGTTCGTTTAAGAACCGGGACTAAAGGGGAGAGGCATTAGTAACGACCCTTTAGTCCCGGTTCAAAAACTGGGACTAAAGGGCCTTACCAACCGGGACAAAAGCCCCTTTATCTACTAGTGAAACAAGCCGTTGTTGCATAGATGAACACCTACACGCCACATATACGATATCCGGAAACTCTGACCCCACGCATGGCATAAGCACAAGAGACAACAACTCACAAGCACAATCGTGTTGTGGGCATTGCCGAGCTTTGTCGGCATAAATGTGATATTGAGTTGCAATGCGCGATATCCGCCTACCGATAACTTCGATGCCATCCATCACATTGTCAAACCAACATTAAAGTGCCTTGCGCCATGACTGCATGTAAATCACTGAGGAATTTCCCAGAGCCCCACCACCAACATCAGTCACAAGGGCTTTGCCCGACAATATCGTTTGGTAGTGACTTGAATGAGAGCAGAGGGGAAGGCATGTATGAAGAACACCAAATATTCTCGTGTCGCCCATAATTTTGCCGTCTCATGCTAAAAGGTTGTCACAGTTTAGTTGACAATATTTTCATTTTTTATTGTTCTCTTGGTTCACCTTTGCAGCCTAAGTTTTGGTTTCATACTAGGTTCGTAGTTTCTCCGCTACAGTCCTATGTGTTACGTGAACGAACTACGACAACCATCATTAGGGCATGTACAACAATATAGACAATGTTTGTCTATAAAGCCTCTCAATTTCATTTTTTGTACAATAATTTGTCCGCAAATTGTATATTTTTAGCCATAACTGATTGTGAGAGATGAATTACAGATAGCATTTGTTCAACAACAAATTCATGATCCATAAGCTGATGCTAAATCCTATGGATTGTGTGTAGATCTACAAACAACCTCTTTCTCTCCTCCACATCAACAAAAAAATTCTTATGTAGCAACACATAGTTTTATATGCGCTTAAAACTGAATACAACATAGCAAATGACCTAATCCAGATGGAAAAAAGGGGCAAATTCAATTGATCCGGCAGATCTAGCACACCGTTTTTGTCGTGTCCCTATGGGATACACTCTCATGTGCTGGGTTTCTTCGTTTATTCATTGCGCCTGTCTAGCCCTATTGATTTATATCACCATATGCGATGCTCCTCTCATGATGGGCACTTTGTCCGATCCACTTGATGCGCTATTGTTGCCGTCGTTGCTCTGCTCACCCCCCCCCCTTTGCAGTCGTCGCGACTAGAGAGGCCATGGTACATGTTGCCCCACAATGCACACAACCACATCAGAGCCAGAATCCAAGATTCTCCATCGTGTCGATGGCGAGCAAAATACCTAGGGGGTGGGTCTGACGTCAACGTGGACCTGGTGAACTGGATTCGATTCCAACAAGCCCTAGTAGTGAGGTTGGCTCCTTACAAAAATGGAAGGTTAATGACTTTCCGGATTTTTAAGTTGCATACGCTCGCGTGTGTTTTGGTGCAAACACACAGGCAGTGTGTTGTAGCGACTCTGGGGTGTCTTCAAGAAGTTCGTTAGAGCAAACAATTCAAAAAATATGACGTGGCATATGAATATCACAAGGCTCAGGCTTATGAAGACAAACCTGTTGAACAGCATACTGCAAGTCGGGCCTGGTGAGTGTCAAGTACCGAAGTGCACCGACAATGGAATGATAGAAAGAGGCATATGATGCTGGTAACCCTTCCTGAGAGGAGAGCTCGGCCTTCGTATCAACACGCGTAGAAACGGGCTTGCAATTAAGCATGCCATCACGCTCAAGTAGCTCGTGGGCGTACTTCTGTTGATGTAGGAAGAACCCATGAACAAGACGGACCACCTCAATCCTGAGAAAATAGTGCAACGGAACCAAGTCCTTGATGCAAATTCATCTCGGAGACGAGCAGTGAGTTGCTGAAGAAGCTCAACTGAGGACACTGTCAGGATGATATCATCAACATATAGCAGTAGGTACGTGGTCGCCTCTCCATGGTGATACACGAACAAAGAGGTGTTGGAGCGTGTAGCACTGAATCCAAGCTACTGAAGAAAACTGGCAATCCACTGGTACCGCGCACGAGGTGCTTGCTTGAGCCCATAAAGAGAGAACGAAAACAAACACACATGATCAGGGCGGGTGGCATCAACGAAACATGTGGGATGCTGACAGTAGACCTTCTCATCAAGATGGCCATGCAGAAAGGCATTAGAGACGTCCATGTGATGCACCGGCCACGCGCGAGACACTGCAAGCTGAAGCATCATGCGGATCATGCCCGGTTTGACAACCAGAGCAAAAGTGTCGGTGAAGTCAATGCCAGTATGCTACCAAAAACCGCAAACAACCCAGCGAGCCTTGTAACGCTTGAGACTACCATCAGGGCGTCAGGCCTAGTCTTGTGACGAAAGACCCACTTGTTGCTAATGACGTTATGTTGTGGGACGCGCTAATTTCAAAAAAAAATCCTACAATCATGGAAGATCTATCTAGGAGATGCATAGCAACGAGTGGGGAGAGTGTGTCCACGTACCCTCATAGACCGAAAGCGGAAGCGTCTAGCAACGCGGTTGATGTAGTCAAACTTCTTTGCGATCCAACCGATCAAGTACCGAACGTACGGC